GCAATATGATAAAATAATGTCTAAAATGTTGTTACTAATTTTCAGTTTAATGTGAATTAACATAAAATATTAAAAACAAGAGTTATTATGTTTAGATATGGTTCATGCACATCTTCATATTTAAATACAAATAAATTTTAAAGTTATTAATTAAAAGTAGTTTTAGAATTAAATTTTAACTTGTGAAAGCAAAAAAGAACAACTAATTAAGCTATAATTGTCACCAGTAGAAAGTGAAGTACACATTAATATAAAAAATGAAGGAAAGGAATAAATTCTAAATCACAATAAAGTAAATAAAAAAGGAAAAAAATAGGTCTGAAGAATTCAGTTTTAGAGTTCTGTGTCAAAGTACATTATGCATGTAAAATGTACATTTTACATGCATAATGTAAAATGGCATTAGGAATGCCATTTTAGTAATTTATAAATTTTAGAAGTATCAATAAAACATATATTTTTTTAATTGTTTGATTTTCTGTAAGAAATGTATTGTTATAATTAATTATATAGTCAAAAGTTGTTAATCCGGACTCGTCGGGACTTCAGCGATTCCAGATTATCGATTTTTCCGGATTATAGATCATCAGTTTAAATCTGGTAAGATGGCATGCAGAAATTATAAAATTAAAAATATGAAACCGTAATTTATGAAATAAAGAACAATTATGATCTAAAGGGTATCAAAATTTACAAAAAAAAAAAAAAAAAAAAAAGCTTAATATTTATTTGATTACTTTATTAAACATTTCTTTCAATGTAAGTTGCTTAAGTTGCTTCATTTTTTATGTGATAATACATTCTCTTTAATTCTATAAACAGACATAATTTCTTGTTCAGTTACAAAGTTCCGCTGTTCAAGTCCTATAATTGCTGTGTCGAGAATACCGACTAATTTGTCAATCGAAATTTTTTCGTTTTCAATAACCTCTGTCGCTTTCTTCGCTTTCAGAAGCGAATTATAATGATGAGGAATTTGATTTAAATCATATCAAAGACTGAGTACATCGAGATGAAATACTGCATTTAGTAAGGAATTATAAGCCCAATAAAATAAAAATGTCTGCCCTGAAGATAAGGATAGTGCTGACTGATCAACTTCATTCATTGCACGCCGCGGTGTTAAAGATAAACAAAGTTTAGATAAACAAACGTTGAAGTTTTGTTAAACAAAGGATATGCCTTTATCCATTTTTTGCAGCAATTCCACTTTTTGTTTAATGGACTTCGAAACATACTTTCGCTTTGTAGATCTTTTACATATTAGTAAATATTTATCAGAAATTCTATTTGACATAATCGAAAGTTCAAGCTTACTTTTAAAAAATTGCTCTAACAGTCTGCAAAAAATAATAAGCCGAATCCAATTCGAAGATTAAGGAACAACGCAATCTGCAACATTAACTGAATTGGATAATTTTAGCTTAGCTTATACCGTCCGTTATACATTAAACGCGCATTCGTAAATGTATTTTGCGCACGCGCACACACATATTCGCAGCCCTAAAGGTCAACGCGACGCATGCGCAGAAAGTTTGTAGCTTTGAGGTCCGGTTATAGATCATTCCAGGTTATGGGTGTCCGAATTAACAACTTTTGACTGTATTATATAAGTTATCTAAATGCAAATTTTTTGCTGCACTGAATGGTAACACCTTGATCTTAGCATAAATAACATGCTGTAATATGATATGAAAAGTGCTAAGAATAGGGTTTCAATGATATCGGGTATTGTGGATTCAGTAAAAATATAATGTTAATTAATTTTACTGCAGTATTAATCTCATTTCAAAATCAAAAGTCTGACTGAATTTTGAATTCACTTTAATTTGATATACTCTTAGAATAAAACCATTCTGTTGCCTGTCAGTGCCAACAAATAATTCCATTGCAGAATAATCCATTTTTAAAAAAAAGTATGCTTAATGAAGGAATTCTATACATCTAAATGTGCAGATTCAAATATTAACAAGGCAAATGCTCAATCTTGCACAACACAAATTTGAGGAAATAAAAATTTTAAACAATGATAACCCCAAAATGCATACTTTATTAGATAATACATGTTTTCTGAGCAATAACCATGATTTTTTTCCCCCTCCAGAGATAGTCAGTTAACATGCAGTTCCACTGTGAATACAGATGTTGCAACACATTAAATTGAAAAAAAAAAAAAAAGTAAAAAGTTTATTTAAGCTATTTTAAAGTTTTATCTTCAGTACTTTTCTGTTAATGTGCCGCCATTTGGCAAATATGGTAGCCCTTTTTCATATTGTGTTATGAATAGTTGTGTAAAGTGCACAAGCAGAATTCATGTAATTCCATGATTTTTTTTAAAATGATCTCTCTTCCCACGTACAGTTTAACAGCAATTCTCCTCATGTACACAGCAATTTGTTTTCACTTAAAATCAGATTAGAGATTTGCGCAAAAACAGCATTGTGCGCATTAAACATTTTATATATTATATGTGAAACATTATTATTATAACTTGTTCTTTCCCCTTCCATGAAGCTTTACATATTGTTAGGGTTGCTGCCATTTAGCTAAATTTTTGTACAGCATTTATGCTTGGCACAGAATAGTACCAAATCTATATACGATTGAGAAAATATACATATCTGTTTATACTGAAAGTTTCCCCCCCCCAAAAAAAAGCGTTCTTAATAAAGTTAGAAAAAAAATATGAAAGCAGATAGTAATCACCACTCAAATGTATGATTTTCTGCCAATGCTTTGGCAGTTTTTCAAAGCCTTTCAGCCAGAAACTTGGTGGCCGTGAGTCCCAAAGCAGATCAACCTCATTTTGGACATTCTGTGCAGAATGGAAGATAGCACCAGCAAGATGTAGCTACAGGTATGAAAAAAGATCGAAATCCAAAGGATTATATTCAGGCTGGGTATGGCAAAAGATCCCATTCGAGTCCAGCTGATGAATGCAGACACGTGTGGTCTTGCGTTATCTTTATGGAACATTACCTTTTTGGACTGGAACTCTGACGTTTTCCACTGTACACCTTACTGTCGAGGGTTTTACCTTATTTCAAATATACTTTATGGATAATACCACAGCAATCCCACCAGGTACAAAACACGATCTTTTTGTTATTCAAATTGCACTGTGCAACGCTGCCAATGGACTCACTGGCTGCAGGCAAACCACCTTTTTGGCCTGTGTTGTTGAAGTAAATCCACTTTTCATCACAAGTGACGATCTGGTCCAGAATTTTATCCTTACATTGATATTCGAGCAGATTAGTGCAGCTTCAAACAAGTCTGTTCTTATCTGCTTGAGTCAGCTCATGTGGCATCCAGCCATTGAACCTCTGTGTCAAGTTTATGCGATGCATAACATGACTAATGGATATGGCTCTAATGTCTAACTCCTTAGCAAGCTCTTTTGTGGTTGCATATTTATCTTCTTCACAAGTTCTCTCAGGCAGGCCTCATCAACATCAGCAGGATGTCCAGAGAGCTTTGCTTCTTGAATGTCATAGTCCTTGTTTTTGAACTTTCAGTACCATACCTTCACAGTGTCATATAATACAACATTAGTACCTAAAGCTGTATACGTGATTTGGGGACATTCTGTAGCTGACTTTTGCAGCAGAACTGGAAGTAAATGATGGTTCTAATCTGATAGCATGATAGTTCCATTTCAGATACCTAGTATTTAATGATATTTCCATTTCAGATACCTAGTATTTAATGATAATGATATTTTTTTTACAAATTTCACAACACAGTATTCTAAAGCTAGTCTCTTTCTTTCAAATGTCTAAAATTGTTTGACAAAATATGATTAAACATGCCAACGTGAACTGTTTTCACAAACAATAATTGTGCTGGTGGGAAGCTTTCGTTAAACCCAGATATGATAAAGTGCTTTGAAACATGGGGTGTTTTCATAGCCTGAGTTATAAAACAAAACCGAAATGTTTTATTGCTGCATAGATATTTTCAAATTATCCTATTCAGAGTGTTATTCTCTAGTTTGTGTTTTGTTAATATCAAATTAAATGTAACCCATTCTTTTACATTTTACTTTCTGAAAATAGTCTGGGAATGGCCATTATAACTTATTTAACCTCCATTATAATTTTTAATACATCTTAGAAAATTTAGTGCATACTTGAATGATTTAGAGAAGAATGCTGATTATCAAAACTTTACTTATCCAAACACTTCAGTTTCAAGGTAAAATTACATATTAAAATCAGTTAACATGATAACTAGTTAATTATTAATGCAAATGGCACCATATACATCAGATTTTAAAGTATCAAAAGATTGTATCATACATTGAAGTTCAAGATGAACAAAAAACGGAGCAAAATAATAGCAGTTTTAGACTAATTTGACCCCATAAAATACTGGAGCCATTAAATGTGTTTAGAAACAACTGCTAAGTGATTAAAGCAGTAGAATACAATTCATTTAATCATTCTTACCTAAAAAGAAATGGCAATGTGGCCACAGTGGAAAACAGTTTTCAGTTTCTTTATTGATAATTATTCAATATAATTAATCTTAATTTTTTGGATAAGGTCTATATTTATCTTATTTAGGCACTTCTTCCTTTCTGATCTAATTCCTTTGTGCTTCTTGCTTCAATAAATTGAAATTAAAATCAATTGAAAGTAATAAATAAGAAGTACTTTAGTCATATATCTTGCTAATCATCATTTCCATTTTGTAGGAATTGCATAGAATTTTAACAGAGTATAGCATAGATAAAATGCTGTTATAAACCTTAGTGGCTCTTGAGATAGTATGGTTTCCATCTAATAATTGCTTTTCTAATTGTTTAAATTTAATGAGTTCCCAAATGGTTTGAATATTCAGTACTTTACTGCATTTCTTATAGAACTTTATTGTGAAATTATTTTTGACTTAATTGAGTTTGCACGTTATTTAATTACTTATTTTACATAAGATTTTTCTCTTTTGTTTGATAAAGTATTTTATTACTACTTTCTTTTTTGAAATTTTTTATATAGTTGACTCCACTAAAGTTGCTAAAGTTTTGACTGCTGCTTTGAAAAGAGATGATAGTGTATTAAAGTAAGTCTTTTCAGTATGCTTGTAATTTCATAATGAAACATACTTTTATGTTTTATTGATAATGTAAAATTAATTTAGAGCCAATTTTTTAAGGGCTTTTAGTTGAGTAATGAGTTTACAGTTTATTAAACAGCTGAAGAATTCATAAATGGCTGATATCTAAACTTTTATATTGCTATTTTATCATCTGTTACATATTGCTGTTTAATCAACGAATCCTTAAAAATTTGTTCATCAGCTAGCTTTTAATGTTTATTTTATCATAGTTCAGTTTCCAGAGTCATTTATAGTGATATTTAAAAAACAATATAACTGTTAATTAAACAGTGATTAGTTGTTAAGCATTGTTAATCCTTTCTTTAACCCAGAATTTTAATTTATTGGAAAAACATTGATCATTTATGACTTCTAGATAAATTATGTACTGCATTAAATTTAATATAGTTTCTCTCACTTGTATATACTTTTGTTGGATTTCTATACATCATTTTTAGGAAGGATAGTGCCCTTCAGGATACATCTTATGTATGTTGCAATGTAATTAACAAGCAATATAAGAAGAAATAATCACTTATTTTGTTACTCACTTTGATTGCCTCAAAGGGTTATATTTTGTTTCAAAAGTGATCAATGAATGTTTTCCCAATATATATTTTAATTCACTGCTGAGTTTTCTTTTTAATTATAGTAAGTTTTGAGAGTTCTTGGAGGAAATTAAATGGATGAAGAGCTGCATATTTGAGATTTTCAGTGTCAGAGGGACATATAATAGAAAAGCTTACCTTAAAGTTGTTTTATAATCTTAAAAGGCCCATAAATCTTTTACAAATTAAGTTAAACATTTCTGGTTGTCAAAGTCATAGATATCACTAATTCATTAAATTACACGGATGGATAACGACTGAAATAAAAAATTAAGAAAGATATCAGTGTTTTTACTTCCTTGTTCAAAGTAAAAAGGAAGTATTGTAATCGCAAAAAATTTCGGGTATCATATTTCAATGAAAATATCCATTTTGACTGTTATCAAATGCAATTTAACGATGTTTTTGCATGATATCTGTATGTAAGGACGAAATAGAATAAAGGATTCTTTTCCCCCTAAAAAATTATAAAACTGATTTAAAATGAATTCTAAAGAGAATTTTTCGTGGCGTCTGTACGTACGCTCGTACGTACCGACCAAAAGTATATAAATATATATATTCATTCTGTTACTCGGCTCCGTGAGCTTAGTTTCTTTATTCGTATATGTTTGTAAATTGTACATTTTTTTCTTTAAAAATGATTGAATTATGTGATTCTGGTTAAGATTTTTATGCTTTTAGTTAACCTGCTTGCAATAATTGTGGAATTATCAACATTTAAAAGTTTTTTAAGTGCGGCTAAGCTTAATTTTTGTTAACGATGCAGCCATATTTGTGTACATTTGAAACTTAGCAGAATAGTGGATTTGTTGCCAATCTAGAGAAACTAAGCTTCGCAACAGCAAAGTAATGTCTTATTTTATTATTGTGAATTAAATTATGCTTAATTCATTCTAAAATTATCATTTAAGTTATTAGCTTTTTTTTGCATAGAAACTGTAATTTGAATTGTAAAAATTGTTTTTTCTTTGTTTTTAAGTGTATATAGTGTTTTATGTTTTTCTATATCTTTCAATTTTTAATGAAAATATTTTGAATTTTTATGTATTTTTGCCTTGCTGCGGTCTTCAATAGTTTGTGAAAAACTGGTTTTCTAATTTTTTTCAGTCTTGGCTATGCATTTCATGTTGCATCTGTATTACAAGGAGATTTGACACCATTTTTTGAGAGAATTGAAGATGTAATAGTTCAAGCTGATGAAGTTGATGGAAAATATTTGCAAGTTGGTATAATTTTAACTGTATTTTTGATAAAGTTTCAATTTCTAAATATAAACAAATTAGATTTTACCAGAAAAATACAGAGTTCTGTATCATTTAATCATGCTTGCCATGCAATTTTAATTTGTTTTTAGAGTTTTTAGAATAAATCTATAATAAAGGTAATTATTGGTTTTTTGCCGATGATTAATCACCAAATGTGGTAGGGTTTGTCGCCAAACAATATAGCAAATCCAAAACCGAGTAATAAGATCTTTTTGAATGATTTTTGATATGAAATCTTTTTTTTTTTTTCTCCTGGGGTGTTTTTTTAATAATAGCTATTTTCAGCTGTCAAATGAAAGGGAAGTTATTGCATTCTTTCAAGAAAGAGGAGTTTACATTCAAATTCGTAAAAACAGACATGAAATGAGGTTATATTCCACTGCAGAATGAAGTATGAAATAAACCAGTGGTCTCAAATTGGTGGCCTCCAAAGCAATTTTATGCACCCCCCCCCCCCGAATACATTTCAGTTGTATATTTGCTGCAAAGATTTCAAGGTTTTAATTATTTGATGTCCAAATTTGCATTACTTTCATTGCTATGAAAAATGTAAAGAACATATTACAAAATTTAGAAATTAAGCTAATCAATTTACAGAGTGATTGAACTCTTTTTAAGAACTTGAAAATACAAATTTGATTAACTGTTATTGACAGTTGTTAAAAAATAAGTATGCTCAGTTACAAATTTTTGTACTTAGAACAATTGCTTTATTTGGGAATACATCAGCAATTTTTTTAAAATTTGAAATTAATAAAGAAAGAACTCGATTGATGAGCATCCACAGTCCACAATGAAGATAATATTTAGTCATGTTTGTCTAGTACGCAGATATTATACAAATAAGTTTTGTATTTACTTACAAAATAATTAATTATTTTCATATGTATAGCATAAATGTATATATTTTTAATTCATGTATCAAAGAAAAATTTAATAAATAAGAAAAAGAGACTAGGTTATTATTATTTATTTTGAATTCTTGTCCCAGTTGGAATATATTTCTCTAAAACTTTGACATTTTTCGTAATTTGTTTATTATCCCAAAGGAGCATTAGCCTAGAAGGGGTATTAGTCTTGACCATTGATTCACTATAAACGGGTGTATCACTTTTTAAATTGTTGCAACCCAATATCATTGCCGCATATTATATTCAAAGAAATTAAATAATGAAGAATCTGCCTGAATATATGCAGGTTTTTTGCATTGTGAAAAAATAACAGTACCTAGAGCCATCAAATTTTGAATAATGTAGTCTTCCACATGATTTTGGAATTTTGAATTTGTTTTATTGTCTATTTCATATTTTGTAAAATTTTAACAAACTCAATGATTTCAAAGCGAGCAGTGGCAGCACTATATGGAAAAAAATTTATCTCCATCACCCGAGACTGTCTATTGGAAATTCTAAAGATATGCCGTTTTAAAATGTTTTATTGTGTATTTGATATTTTATAAAATTTTAATGAATTTTTTATTAATAAACTCAACGATTTCAAAGCAAGCAATCACAACACTGTATGGGGAAAAAAATTAACTCCAACACACGAGATTGTGTATTTGAAGTTCTAAAAATATGCTGTTTTTAAATATTTTTAGCCTATGAGGACATTCGCCCAAATGCTTCCGAAACACGTATGTGAATGAAGCAAAATGCCCCTTTAGGTGTAATATAAAATCTGAAAGCTTTCAGATTTTTATTTTATTTTTTTAGTTTACATTTAAGCAAGTTATTTTAATGATTGGTTGAACATATTAGAATTGTTTAAATTGAATGTGAATCTGAAATATTAATATATTTAGCTGACAGTATTATTATTATTATTATTATTATTATTATTATTATTATTATTAATGACAAAGTGTAACCAACTAAAATATCCTTCAGGTGCCAAAATTTAGAGTTCAAATAGATAAATGTAAATTTGAATTTTTTCCCTCTTGTGTTATTATTGTTTATGAATTTAATAAGCAGTAAGCGGAGTTTAAAATCTAGGTTTTTTTGGGGGGGTTGATAAAAAAAATTTATTGTGTTAAAAGGGGAAAAAATCTGCCATGTCAGCTGTTTTCAGATCGTGCATTCAACCCACATGCAATTTGAGTTTGAGATCACTGAAATAAGCCTTATAGAAATGCAGAAATAGAAAAATCTTTGCCTCAGCAATCAATTTGCTTTTTTAAAGTCACATTCTTGACAGTGAAAAACTGCTGTTGCCAATTTATGGTTACTTAGAAAATAAATTGCAATTTTTTTAAAAATTTTTATTTATTTATGGGGTGCCTAAACGTGGAAGATTTCTTTTTTTTTTCTCTTCCCCTTCGCATTTTCGATTCCTGGTAAAACTATCTTATTGCCATACTAAAGGTGCATTTGCAAAATATGTCTCCCTCTTACCAAAAAAAATCCTTGACATTTCTGTATTAAATTTTCTAAATCAGCAATAACAATGTTCCTCATATTTTCATATAATTCCATTATTTATTTATTACAGCCTAAGATATGTATTGGTACTTAAGTCTTATAGTGGCCACTATAAAAAAAGTCCTAAGCAGAAAACGCACAGAAATAATGGGATAAAATATGGAAATGTAACAAAATTACACTAACATTTTTTTTTTTTTTTTTTTTTTTAATACAGTTTTTCAGTTACATTTATTTCTCTTGTATAGATTCTGCAATTACTGTTACTATGGCTTATGTAAAAAGAATTTTTGTTTCCTGTGCACTGATGACATGTAAATTTTGCTACATACTCAAAGTAATGCTGAGCTACATGCAGTATTATTTTAAGAAAAAAGCATTTTACCTTGTAGTAAAATGTCCAGAAATAGCACAAAATTCACATATATAAAATTGACGAAAGCTTTGGAGATGGAAATTTTCTATTGTTCTAGATACATTTTTTAAATTTTTATTTATTTATTTATTTATTTATTTTAATTTTGAGGAAAACTTCATCCATTGAATAAGCAACAATAAAATATTCAATAAAATATTTCAGAATTTTTCTAAATAATTGCACATAAAATTGAGATTTTTAAAAAAAGAGAGAAATCTGACATATCTTCTTATAATAGCATTAACAATCAAATTGCAAATGTCAGCTCGTTAATTTGCAAATTTTTATTGTGTCACTTTGCTATTTGAAGACCAACTATATAGTATATCCTTATGTATTCATTAATGTATAAGTTGCTCCTGGGCTCATGCTGTTATAAAACCTATTTTTGAATAAATTTGTGAGTAGAAATCTGGAAAGATCTAATATTTGGACCTGTGAACAACCAGCAATTTTTTTTATTATTGAATAATGAGTGAAAGAATTAGATTCTGAAATTAGCATCTCCCTTTAATACTTGCTTCATACATGCACAGTAGACATGTTTTTCATAATAAAATATATGAAAAATCCTGATTCTTAATTTCATTTCGATATTAAATAAAACACACCATGTTGAAGAAACAATTATTTATTAGCTTAAATCTGTATGATCAGGCTATGATAGCTTTTCTTAGCATGCATCTCAGACTGAAACATTTTACCAAAGTTGTTTATTACTAATATTACACTGACTGAATAACTTACATTACTGACATCAACCTGGGAATCTTTTTTTTTAATCCCCCCCATGACCATGTGACTAGTAACTAATGGCAGCTTGACAAATAGCTCACTCAGCAATGTCTGAAACATTTTTTTAATAACAATTAAATATCAAACAACATGGTAATCTTTTATGTTGCTTGGCAATGATTAAAGCCAATTGTGCTACAAAACATTGAGTGTGTTGATGAGGAAAAATTTAATTGAAACTTCTTTCTATGTGCAAAACATGGGTTTTGTAAATCATATTCCTAGACCAAAATTTTACATTTAGTGCTGTTTGCATTAAGAATAAATGATTTATTATTCGGATAAGCCTTAAGCATATGTGTTAATTTATTTATATAGGAAAAGCATGCAGTAAATAGATGTAATTATGATTCATATGCACGAAATAAACATAATTATGATAAATGATTAAACTAATATAATTCAGGCTTAACTTTTTCAGTGCACTATAGAAACAAGACAAAATTTAGTGGAATAACATGTCTTTAGTCACGTATAGTATGTAGCTAAAATGAGATAGTACTCAAAATCCATAGTATAATTCAAAATGCAGTAAATATCACTAAGGTGGTAAAGAACATGACAAAGAGGTTGTTGAGAAAGAAAAAACTTCTATTGACAATTTGGGGGAAATTCTCGACTCCATTTACAGGACTTGAAAAATAGAACTTTGTAACTGAACAAGGCATTATGTCAAGTAACTTAAATAACTTACATTGAAAGAAATATAACAAAGCAAGCAAATAAATATTGAGCTTTGTTAGTAAATTTTGATTCCCTTAAGATCATAAATGCTTTAAATAACTATTTCATATTTTTAATTTTATAAATTTTTCATGTCATCATTCTAGATTTAAACCAGTGATCTAAAATCTGGAATTGTCAAAGTCTCAACAAGTGAGGATCTCAGACTTGCTAGATTGCTTGCATAAAATTATAATTACTTCTGCTTTCTTATTTATATGAATATCTTTGTTTCATAATGATTTTATTTAATTGTGTTCTTCTTAAAATATTTCAGAAAAAATCTAAATAATTGCATATAAAATTGATATTTAAAACAAAGAGAAATTTGACATAGATCCTACAGGTTTAAACTTGTTTTGTGGAAGTCTTTCGTACATTCAGTTCTGTTATACCTATTGGTGCCTAGTAAATATTAAAAATGATCATCTGGTGAGTAATTTTGAAGTATCTGAGCATCATCACACTAAAAGATAAGCTTGTCATTAATATATATTAAATTAAAAGTATGCCATAGTTTAATTTTATATTGAAAACACTTACCTTTCACTTATTATAACAAATAGCGATTAAAATTTTCTATGATGCTTATTTTTGAAATGGATAAAAACTTATCAGGATTCCTTTGTACTATTAAAATAAAATATATTGCTGCGAGCTACAACAGTCATAGGAAAACTATGGCAAACATACTGAAACAATCGGCAAGGCAGCCTTTAGGCTATAATGGTGAAGACAGCTTCAAAACAAAGCACTAAATTACAGTTCCTGACATGGGCGATTGCTCTCAAGCTAATCTCTGAACTCAAGACACCACTCTACAGTACAGATACTACTACTATACTACTCGAGTTATTTTGTCACTTGGGAATTAAAAGTCTAGTATATAAATGTTGCTAAGCATTAAGCTGTGTGACCAAACTGTATATTGTACTCTTATTCATTCATTGGTGTATAAGTTTTTACTATTATTTTTAAATAAATTTGTTTGTACTAGATTGCTTGTATAAAATTTGAATTAATTCTGCATTCTTACTTATATGAATATCTTTTTCTCATTATTTTATGTCATTCCTCTTATTTTGACAAATAAATCCATTTAAATGCTGAATTGACTGCAAAAAGTTTACTTAAGTTCAACTTGTATAAAGCTTAAATTATAATAATTGTAAAGAAATAAAATTTATCAATGAATCTGAACCAAGTAATTAATGTGTATATTTCATCATGCTGATAACATTTAGTTAATGTTAATAATTCTGAGGTTGGGTTGAGGGGGATTGAAAAAAGGTGAAAAAACTTTGCAAAAAAAAAATAAATAAATAAATAAATAAATAAAGGACAAAAATCTATGTCTTATTTTCATTAACTTACTCTTTTGCTTGTCGCATGCAAGTGTCATATAAACTTCTCTTTCCTTCTGATAGTACATATATATTACTTACATTTTTAAATCCAATTTCTTTGTTATGATTGAGTAATTTATGATTGAAGACTTTAAAAGAACGTAAATGATGTGTAAGGAAAATACATTCATATATTTTTTGTATATAATATATTACTTTTCCCCACATATAATTTTAAACTTTGTGATGTTTTACAGTTTGAAGGTGGTTTAGGTATTACATCAACCACAATAAATGGTGTTTACAAATTAGCAGAAGCTGTCAAAAAGGCACCTGCTTTAACACCGGTAAGTTGTATGCAAATAGTACTTATTGTAGTCATTTTCAGTATTATATGTACGATTGCATTATTTGAAAAAAGGGAAACTAAGCTACATTATATATGAAATTAAAAATGAATAAGTTATTTGATGTGTAGCGGTAATTTTGTCTTTAGTGTTAGATTTTTTGTCTTTAGTGTGAATTTGCATAATTATATTTATGAATTTGTAAGGATTTTTATTTTTTCCAAGGTGCCTTTTCTAAATTTAAAAACATTCTACAAATACATAACTTTAACTCTTTGAGCATGATTGCTTCCCATATTAAGCCATGAAGTTGTATGTTTACATGCCACTTATTACCTTGATTTTATAGTATAGTTTGCTATTTGCTTTCATAATCATCAGATTTTTATAAAAATAACATAATATTTTAAGGAACTAGACACTATATGTAAAATTACTCTCGCTCTAATGAACATATGAATGTACAGTCAAACCATGTGGAATGTATGTACAATGGCATAATAACATTGACCCCAAAGTAGCTGATTTTTAAATGTAAAATATTAATTTCAAATACTTATTTATAATGTAATGCTAATATAGCTATGCACTGAATATTTACTTTATCATTTGCATTTAATAAACATTTTTGGAAGTGTTATCTTGAGATGCAAAATTTTCAAGAGATTGTTTATTTTATTGTAGGAGGGATATTTTTCACAAATTTTTTTGTACAAATTCATAGATTTTTTTTTAAAGAATTGTTAATATAAATTATAGTTTATGAAATTTCATACCATAAATAATGTGAATTTTTACTATTTTTTATTAAAGATAAAATTACTATCATAGGTGGTATAATTGATGTAGTAAGCTTAAAAAGAAATAGAACACAAAATAAAGAATGTATTTGTACGTTAGAGTAAGATTTAAAGATTTGAAAGTGAGGAAATTGAAATTACTGTAGTCGTATGACATTATATTTTGAATGTTTAAAACTTTTGAAGATTTGAAAGGGAGAAAAATAAAAATATTCTAGTCTTTTGACATTATATTTTAAAGTGTTTAAAACGTATTTTCTTTTCTTTTTTTTTTTTTCTTTTTTTTTTTTTTCCAAATACTATGCATTGTAGGTCAGTAACTGATGCTTTAAAATTTTACTATTATCTAAAAGTTAAAGATTACAAGAACTTTGTGTTAGAGACAAAACATTCTAATTATGATTTAAAATGAAAGCTGATATGTAAAAAGATTTAGTAGAGATAATAATGAAATTGAGCTTTTTCAATTATAAATAAATAAATAAATTTTGTTGACTGTTTTCAAAGTGCATTGCTGTGGAAATTACGGCTATGACTTTTTAATATATTTTTAAGTATTTTACTTTTACTTTCTTGTGTCTTCCATTTTTGAAGAAAATGTTATTAATGTTAACATTAAAATTCAAAAGTAATTCCATGTAACGTATGATATTTACTAGGAACAAGCTGTCAAGTTCACAAATTACTTCCTGAGTAGAAAATTTGTTCAGACCGTTAAAGGTTCAGCTCAGCTTCTAGATATTCTCAGGATTTTTGCTACAAATAAGGTAATTGTTAATTATTTTTCTTTATTCTTAAAGAAATTTACTAATTTAAGTATAATTAAAGTAAATTGTTTGGTTTTAGTTTCACATTCCTGTAGCTGTGACACTTGCAAGTAATAGTGCTTTATCTGATGAAAATCCAAATGTTCAAATTCGGATCACTAATGTCCTTGGTGCTTCTCTTGGTCCCCTGACTGTTACAGCAGATAATGCTAAAAGGGTTGGAGATGATGCTGTTGTTTTGAGCAAAAAAGCATTTCAGGCTGTAAAGGGCAGCAAGTAAGTTTTTAAGAACCAGTATATTTTATAGCTTTAAAAAAAAAAAAAAAAAAATTCAGACATCAAATTTGATATTTTGTAAATATCAAGATGCCATTTCAGACATTATAAGTAGAATAAGAATTTTATGTATTTCTCTAAATGATAGTCAGCAGTTTTAATTTCATTGCTGTGAATTTCCGTTGTGTTGCAATAAAGTGATAGAATAAAGGTATTTTTATTAAAAATTAAATAATTAGATTCTAAAGCATGAGTGGTAAAAATATATATATGAATAATATATGGTAAAATAGATATTTATGAATTTTATCACTACCAGATTTGAAATTTATGTTGATAACTGAAAAGTTTAGAAGTCCTTAAACTTCTAAAAGCTGTTGTTACGAGGCGTATTCGGAAACCAAGTACCGTTTTGAAAAAAAAAATAGTAAAACAATTTTTTCAAATCCAATTCTATTTTTACATGAAAATACATGTCTTAAACTATTTTTCAACATAGTTTCTGCCAAAACACTTGTCATAGCGAGTGACCAGTTTTTGTATACCATCGTCAAAGAAACTTCCCGCCAGTTTCGATAACCACGACTCCACAGTATTTTTTGTGTCATCATCAGATCCAAAGCACTTGCCACCAAGCTCGCGCTTCATGTGCAGGAACAAGTGATAGTCGGACGGTGCCAAGTCCGGGCTGTACTGCGGGTGATCGAACTGCTCCCAATGGAACTGTCGAATTAACGATTGAGTGACACCAGCAGTATGGGGCCGAGCATTGTCATGGAGCAACAGAATTCCTTTACTGAGCATTCCTCTTCGTTTGTTTTAAATGGAACGCCTTAGTTTTGTTAAAGTCTCACAATATCATGCTGCATTAATGGTTTCACCTCTGGGAGAGAAATTCAGTAAGCAAAACGCCTTTCCTATACCAGAAGACAGTGCACATGATTTTTTGTGATGACATTGTCACTTTGAACTTTTGTTTTTTCGGAGAATGAGTGTGTCTCCACTCCATCGATTGTTGTTTCAATTCTGGTGTGAAATGACACACCCAAGTTTCATCACCTGTCACAATTTGGTTTAAAAAGTTTTCTCCCTCATCACTGTACCGCATGAGAAATATCAGAGCACTACCGAGTCGCTTTGTTTTGTGAATATCAGTGAGCATTTTTGGAACCCATCGGGAACACAGTTTGCAATAATTCAAGCAGTCAGACACAATTTCGAACAAAACAGTACGTGAAATTTGTGTAAATGCCTCTGAAAGAGTTGTCATTGTGAAGCGTCTGTTCTCATGAATTGCTTCATCAACTTTGCTTACCAAATCATCGGTGACAACAGAAGGCCGACCACTCCAAGCCTCGGCGTGGACATTTGTTCGACCTGCATTAACCCACTTTCGACCCACTTTCTCACCATTCCATCACTTATCGCGTATTCACCATAAACTTCTGTCGCTTGACGATAAATTTCGGCCGGTTTAACATTCCTCGCGTTCAAAAATTTAATCACGGCATGAATCTCACAGTCATGCCATGATTAAAATTTGAGTGTTTAATTATCCTAACTATAATTACAAAAAATTCAAAGAATTTCTTTCTTTTTTTCCTATGTTGGACTTGCTGATCACTAACAAGAGCAAAATCCAATCTCATTTTGTTTTAAGAATTTTTCTTAAAATAATAAGCAGAGCAATCTTGCTTGTCTCAGTCATGAGCATTCCAAGGCACTAACAAATCTTTAATTACAATTTTTTAAATATGCGATTTATATTCTACATCTTAAGATGAGGAGCACTCCCGCTCGCTTTAAAAATTTGCTACTGATAATGTAATGAATATTATAAATAACTGAGTAATTTCACATAAATTTTGGCAAGTTATTACTACAGCAAGTAAAAAGTGAAAGCATTACAAGTGTTAATTAAGAGTATAATCATGATAATTTGTAGTTGAATTTTTCAAATGCATGTTAGTATTAATCCTAATCACTTTGAGAATATAATTTTGTAGTTAATTTTCATTTAGATTCTGATATTTTTAAATTTTATGCTGTACTTAATTTATATATATATATATATGTGTGATGTACCAGCTTTAGTCGTAGCTTAAATTATGAGACGGTAAGTTTAAAAAAAAAAACAGGATCCATTTATTATTATTCAGGAGAAATAGCAGTTACAAAATCAGATATCCGGAGTAAATAAAAAGAATTACTAATAACTTTTTGTATGAAGTTTACTGCGTGACATTTAAGAAAAAGCCCCCGATATTCCTTTGCGAGTCCTTTTATAGCCTCTGGAAAGACAGAGCTTCAAAGAAATGACGTCAGCCTTGTCAGCCAATCCAGTTCGCTTTAAATATTTCCAGAACATTCTAAAACTGTACGTGTAGAAAAAGCGGGAAAAACAACTTGACTACGGGGCTGTAGATTTAATTTCACGTACTTTTAAATAAGAGACCGTCGCCATTAAAAATGAAAAGAACAATACAGTTAGAATTTTAAGTGTATTCTTGACTATGGAATTTTATTATACATATATATATATATATACACACACATATATACACACCGGGTGCTTATAATTAAAGTTAGCCTATTTAGGCCTATGTGGAGACCATTTTGGAAGATGTATTTCAATGCGACTTAGTATATACATTATATGAAGCATAGAAAAAAGTAAACTATAATAAAAAATAATATTTCAAATTTTGACCATCAGGTGAGAAGGAAGCACATGAGGAAGAAAAAAATGCAAAACTGGAAACAGAAAACTTTATTTAATCACAACCTTTGTCCAATATGCATTCAATTTGCATCAGTCACACATTCAAAGCATGTTATAGTTTTTTTTTTTTTTTTTTTTTTTGATAGTAGTGCAAAAGATTTTACAGTCAATTGCAGCAACATAACATGTTATGCCTGCTTTCAATTCAGGCTTTTACTCCATATGCTTCCTTGTAGGCATGATCATTCAGGAATCCCCACAATCAGAATCACTTTCAAATCCAGAGAACGAGGAGACCAGGCAGTTGAAAAGCTTCTCAGAATTACTCAATCATCCTCAAAATGGCCATAAAGCAATGCCTTCACTGGTCTGGCAATGTGAGATGGTGCACCATCTTGCCTGAACACATTAGTCTCTAAACATTCTGGTTCTCGTAAGGCATAAGTGTTTTACTGCTGAAAAACCTTTGAATGCTTGAGAAGCATTCACATCAAAGGAAAAGGACTGAAATTAGCAATAAAACTTCACCATGCAGTAATGTAACCAAGATGCAGAGATTGTTTATACATAACATCAGGAATTTGAGTGTCCCATATGTGACAGTTTTGAGTATTAACTGCTTCATACAGGGTGAAAATGTGACTCATACGACCACAAAATGTCCCAAGGCCATGCATTGTCAGTGTCCATTCTGGCCAATAGAAGGCTTGCAAATTAATGCTTTTGTCCGGGTATGCAAGATGTAGCTCTTGCAGAACTCGGATCTTGTATAGATGCTACATTACAATGGATCATAGAACCTTTTGCACTGTCGACGAAGAGAGAGCCAAATCACATGACAACATTCAAGCACTTGTTAAAGAAATGGAACTGGACGTTCTTTTGACCACAGGAATAGCGACTTCTTCCACAGTTTCATTTGAAATCCATATCCTCTTCCGCATAACACACGCATATCCTCAGTATTTTCAAATTTATTAATCATCTTTTTTAAATCCTGCCATGGTATAGGTCCTTTTTGTAAACCTTTCAAGCATCGATATTCTTGCAGTGCATGTGAATAAGACAGTTTAATCAAAGCTTGATCTAGTGAAGAATGATGCACCTTATGTAATCAAGAAATTTTCTGATTAATTTTATCTAGAAAATTTTTAGAGGAAATTTCTAAAAACAGTAAATACACATTTTTGTAATTTTATGGCTAATTTGTGCTTAAGTTTTTAGATTTTAAACTATATTATTTTATTGGAAGTTTTGGTGTTCATTGCAATATTTTTGATTTTGATTATTTATCTGCAACATATTTTTTTTTAAACATAGCATATTATATACATTGAACTTCATGGAAAGCAAACCACTCCGAGGATTTTACACCATTTCAGTTAGTGCAGTTCCTAGGAAACCTGATCCTAAACTTATTGGAAATACTGGTGCTCAAGTAAGTTTAGCCAGAATTGTCTGGCCTTCATATTTATGAAATGCCAATTCTAAAATATTTTCATTGCAGCATGCACCAAGCAGTATAGATCGTGATAGTCTTTTTAACCCTTTAAGACATTGAAATTTTTATTTGTCAGTCTTTATGATTTTTTCATTAGGAGTCCTTCTTTTCCTGATTTTTCTGTATTTTTAATATATTAAAATTTTTTGCATGTTTAAATTTCTGTTTTTAGATAAAAGTTAAAGTAATGACAGAAGCAGCTGTTGAAGGTGCAGAAATTGGTACAGTGTATCGTGATCAAATGACCTCTGCAAAGTCTACAAGGTAATAGTCATTATTTGTACCAGATTTATGTATATGCAATGTTCCAGATGTGTTTTAATATTAGGTTTTAAGTTATTATAATTTTTGTGCTTTTCTTTTTATTTACATGAGTTAGTGTTATATGTTATAGGGAAATATTTACTTTAAGAATGAGTTTGGCTAAAGAAACAGTCTGTATTGATGCTTATGCAAAAGGTAACTCCTTACCTCACACAGTATAATGTCTAGATTGCTATAGATTAATTTTTGTAGGCTTGCCCAATCTATATTTTATTATTTTTATGCTTGAGACGAAGGAACTGATTTCATGTTTTCTAAGGAAGACATTCTATTCAGCTTTTATTGGAGAGAAAAGAAATTACTGCATCAATAGAAAATTCAAATGTATTTGTAAATTTTTTCATAATGAATTAGTGTGACTTAAATTTTAATTTTCATATTTTATCATTTAAGAATTATAAATCATGGCATATTTTCATCACTTCTGAATTCTAACATGCTGCAGCTTAATGTAAAAAAGTAATTAACTGAGCAGAGAAAATAAAGCATAAGTACATATTAATTATAGCTAAAGACTTTAACATGAAAATGATTTGAAATTTGGGTACTTTTCTGTTAATGGGCTGCCAGTCGCTAAATTTGGTAGCCAACTGATGTCATAACATGAACAGCTTACAGTGATAATAATGTTTAATGTTTTATTCATTATATATAAAATAGTTATTCTTTTTATGAAACTGCATTGATAATATATATAATGTTTAATGTTATAATTCATTATATATAAAATAGTTATTCTTTATGTGAGACTTTATGTATCATTAAGGTTGATGTCATGTAGTTAGATTTTGTGCCAATGCTTATGTTTGCCGTTGACAGGCACTCTTAATGGAAAAGTACCAAAATTCTTAATGATTAATTTTAAATTGATGTTTTTTATTTAACATTCGGAAGTTTTATTTATATTCAATAAGGAATTAATAACTGAAAAACAAAATGCAACATCAAGTTAATTTTATGAAATTGTTATTATTTAAAATTAATTTAAAATATTGAAATTTTTATCTCAGTCTTTTTGAGTTATTAATTAGTCATTTTCCTTATTTTTCTGGATTATTATATTTAAAAATCTATTTTGTATGTTTAAATATTGCTTTATTAAAATGAATTATAATCTCTTACAGTATTGTTTACCCTGAAGAAAAAGTTAGCCTAGAAGCAGATTATCATCAAAAAATTATAATGAAATTTTCTCTGAAAGATAAAAATGCAAAATCACCTTTGCTTGCTCATCAGACATTTGTTCAGTTTGTGAATCGTGAGAGGGGTCAGGAAGTTGTGTTTGTTGCTGAACCTGATACATCTAACGTTTATAGATTTGATTTGGTAAGTTTTATTCATGTATAATATATAATTGGTTTTACATTACTGTTTTTGACAAAGATAGTTTATTAAGGTATACAGGTGTCTTTGCTTCAAGTGAAGACACCTGTATCATCAACTTTCACTAAGTAAAAGATGAAGTCCTAGCGTAAAGATCTTTGCTTCATAAATGCATTATAAATATTTGAATTTCATATTGATTTTAACTTTTAGGATTTTTAATCTTCCAACTTGTGCTCTAGTGTGTAGTATCCATACAGAATCTAGTTTTTAGAAACTAGATGAAATGCCAAATAATTTTAGTGCTGATGCTGGGAGAAAACTGTTATTTAATATATTTGTATGTTAAAGCTTATGATAAAATTGACAATATTTTTTAGCTTTAGAATAGATAATTTTAAAAAAATTAAGAAATGCATATTATTCTAGATATTTGGGAAAAAATTAATTTAAAAAGGAGTTTCTTTTTTTTTTTTAATAAATAGGAAATATTTAAAAATATAATTCCTGGTTAATATTTTCTGTTAGAATTTGCAAATAATCTATTAGAATTGCCAAATATACCAGTAATCAGGGCTGTGGAGTTGGGTAGATTTTTGGGTAAAAGGAATCGGAGTTAGAGTCGCTAAAAAACACGTCGACTCCGACTCCAGTTCTTATTGAACAGATTGAATTAGAAATGAAATTAAAGTGAATTGAAAAAAAAAAAAATAATAATAATGTCAAACTAAGTTAATATTTTATTTATGGACTATATACGTTAATTAAATAGTTATTTTCTATTTATTGACATTTATGTCATAAAATAAATATAAGGTAATAGTAAATAAATATAAGGAAGCAAGATAGGCATGATATTTGGCCATTATTAATTAAATTGATTCATTTAGTTACTAATTTCACTTGGTGAATTGAAGGTAAGCAGCGAAGAACTCCCAAAATTGATGCCATTCTTAGGAAGCGAGCAGGAAAAGGAGCAACGCAATGGAGAAGTACATATTTAATGATATAGTGGTTGTTCAAATTAATAACTTTTTTTTCAGAAGATGTAAATAACCCTAATATTTCACTAACAGAAAGACTGTGGAATGATCTTGCAGAACTGGAAACCCATCTTTCAACACCGTATATAGCCATAAAAAAGCTACAATTCAAAGAAATAACAGGAGACGAGAATGTTAGAAGATGTAGATAAACGAGAATGTTTTACTAACAGAAAGACACTGTGGAATGATCTTGCAGAATTGGAAACTCTTCTTTCTACACTGTATATAGCAACGAAAAAGCTACAATCTGAAGAATTAATAAGAGGCAAGACTGGAAGAATGTGATGTTTGTTCTTTCTGAAATGCAGGGTTTATTGCAGAAGGAATCATTTCTTCAATGAAGAAAAGAAAAACTAATTTGCTAGACAATAAGATCGTGCTGGGTTCAATATATGTAGATCCAAACTGGTAAATTTTGTTGCATGACAAACAGATTAAAAAGCCATTCTTAATGAAAGTCATCTATGAACTTTCATTAAGAATGAAATTATTATCAGAAGAACTGGAGTATTCAAATCAGGACAGTCAAACTGCAGATATTTTAACTGAGTCTCTATCATCATCTTCCACTGATGAATTAGATTTTGAAAAATATTTGGATAATATTGAAAAGGCTAAGACAAAGCGAATGAAAATAAATAGGCCTTTAGATATAAAAATGAAAAAATACAAACAAGATTTATACACGGCCTTTGAAGAAATAGATAAATATGATTGCAAGATACCTCTTTAAGAACTTATAAAAATCGATCCTGAAAAGTTGAAGGAAGTAGCCCTAAGAGTAACAGCTCTTCTTCCTACTCAAGTCAGTGTGGAAAGACTCTTTTCAGATCTGAAGTTTATCAAATTGGATCTATGGTCCTCTAACAAAGAGGATCTTGCCAACGTTTTACTGTTTCTTAGAAATTACTAATGGCAGTTTTTCCATTTCGTAATAAATGCTAATTAATATAAAAAATTTGCTATGCATCAATTTTTTTCTGCAGCATCTATTACTTCTTTTATGTTAAAAAAATAAGCTGTACCCATGTGTATATGTTTACATATATATGAAGGAGGAGTCGGAGTCTGTCATTTTTCCTATCAACTCCACAGCCCTGCCAGTAATCATATATAATTAGCATTAAATTATACCCCCTTTTTTTGTTTGTTAGATCAGGAAACAAATCATTAAATTAAAATAAATTATATTTTACTATTAGAAATTTTTTAAAAAAAAATTAGATACAAAAATAATTGCTATCCATCATGGAGTTGTGCCATTAGGTTTTGGGGGGAAAAAAACACTTCAATTATGAAAAAGATTACATATATGTAAAATGTCAATTTTTCTACTACTCAGGAAATAAACAAGCAATAAATGGACATAAAGGGGCCTACTTATCCCTCTGTTCCATCTTTGTTATCCAAAATAATCATGAATGTAATTGGCAAAGATTGCCTTTTATATTATACCAGAAATGTAATGTCTTGTGTTCTCGATACAGAACCAAAAGACTTCTGCTTTCCCCCAGTTTGTCTTGTCTTTTTTTTTAATAAACATAAGCTTTTCTGCTAGTTGCCTAGCACCATCTCTTGGGAAAAAGCTTTAGTCAAACAAAAAAAGCATCATTTTTTAAATTCCTTTTTCATAATTGTTTGTTGAATCATCAAACCAAAGTATTTAACCAGTTTATTATTTTACATATTAAATATTTTAATTCTGATATTTCTGATCACAAATTAATGTTTAAAATATCTTCCATATTTTCAAAGTTCGTAAAAGGTTTTTTATTAAATGTGAGAACTGCATTTATTCCTCTATGTGCATTTTCTTTTTTATGTAACTAATCGATTTTTGTCTTCTGTATAGGATATTTTCACTAAAGCAAAAGAATTTATGTATGCTTCTGGAGTATATGACGTTTTCCTTATAGTTGGAGATGCTGTTTTAAAGAATCCCTTTATGTGGAAAATGGTGAGTATTTTGTTTATTTTATTAACTTAAAACTCTAGTATGATTTAATTACTTACAAAGCAAGATTTCTATGCATTTTAATTATTAATGTGGCTGAATGTTATTTTAAATTTTAATATTATATAAAGTTAATTAAAGTTTGTCATTTAGATCAGTTTTTTTCACTTATATAGAAATTTTTATCCAGAAATAAGAAACTGAAATAGAAAGCGATAACCAACATGCCTCAGTCTGAGTATATAGTGTGAAATAATGTTTCACATAAAAAATAAAATTTGAGAAAATTTACATTTTTATATGTTTATTTGGAAAATTGATATAAGTAGCTACCTCATGTATTTCCATGTGAAATTATTTAGTATTTTTCTTAATGAGAAATTTAGTATACTATAACAAGTTGCAAAAGAAATTTTTTGTAAATTTTATGTATAGTTTTGAATTTTTTTTTAGAGAATTATATTTGCCTGTTTTTAGGCAGAAGCTTGAAATGGTAGCTAATTCCGAAACTTATTTTTTTATAGTAGTTTAATACAGTTGCAATTAACCATCAACTCAATATATTATTTCTCTGATTTGGCCATAGTTAAATAAATGCTAGAATTACAGTTTTAGATTTATTAGATATTAAAATTGCTTTGGTATGAAAATTATAAATTAATCATTAAATTTTTTATGCATTAAAATAAATTCTTTGTCAGCTTAATTTTTTAGGTGTGAATTAGAGTAATTTCTTAGCAGTTTTTAAGTCAGTTTTGCTGCGTTATTAAAATGTGGAATCATTTTAATACTGGGCAGCAAAATTTAGTATGAAAGAATGTGAAATAATCACAATTTCTGCAAAATGAGAAAAATTATTGTTGGTATACTTAAATTGTTGGAAAAATAGCTTCAATTTATTGATTGCTATGTTGTCAAAAATTTTTTCTAAAGTATTCCTACTTTTCTAAAGAATTAATTTAAAATCCAGTTTAAGAAAACAGAAGTAATTGTATCTTGTAATAAGTTTATATTATTTTGGAAATAAAGGTACACATTGCAGTGTGCAACTTTATTTTCAATACTATTGGGTTCCTACACCGTACACCTTCAGTTCCAGATGAAAAGCTTTCAAAATTGTGAGATGATGATATTTTTATTAAATATTTACAATCAAATATTATTTTTAATTTTATCTGTCTTCCTTCCAAAAGAATACATCTAGAGGGGATTATAACCCTACTAAATTCTCTCTCTCTATTGTTTTTCAGGGCCATGTATCCTTAACATTTCCTCCTAATCCTGTATCAACAAAGCCATCAGAAAACCCTTATGAACCAAAGCCCGAGATTAAGGTAAGAAATATTCTAGATACTCTTCTATTATCGGGACTGGATTCAGGACTGGTATGTATATGTACATGTATGGATACATGTATATGATCATGTATATATCTATATATGTGCATACATATGTATGGGTGTGTACATATGTATACATGTGCATACATAGTACATGCTCAAAAAAAAAAAAAAAAAAAAAAGGGGGACAGTGCGATATCTCCCGTTCTACTGGGCCAGTTGACAAAATTCAAACTGCGTTTTTCATGTCTCGAAAGTGCGACTTAGGATTATATATTAGATTTATATATAGCACTATTCTAAACATAGGTATTTGACACAAAATCAGGACTTTTTCTGAAATAAATACCAATTTTTTTTACATGGTTTCGATTCTACGACTCAAATTATGCCAGAATACCAAGTTTTGTAAAAATCGTACGAATAGTTTTTAAAATATTAGCTCTCAAAATTTTAGCTCCTCAATGTTAATTGAATTTGGCAAAATATTATTAATATCTTTTTTTTTATTTAAACTTTTGATTTTTTTCTCACATTTCAAAATTTTGGTTCATTCCAAATAAAATTTACCCATTTTTTGTTTTATTTTTTAAATTTCTATTTTTAAATAATTTCTATAAATTTTTCAAAAACATTTTGAATTATAACCTATAAAATTTTTACCATCATCTTAAAAGTAGGTGTATTTTTAAGCATATCTGCAAAAAATTAGACTTTTTTATTCAAAATTTTCTAAGATATACACGAATTTACATAATTTCGCGTTTTGAAATTTGGCACCTTTTTTTTGAGCGATAATAACGCCAAATGTGGTCCATGGATTTTTGTTACACTGAATTGCACAGCTATTTTTAACCTTAAATTCAAGTAAAATTTTACGGAGAATTAATTATATGACATTTTTTCCCTCAATGATGTGTAATAAATATTTATTAATACTATATGAAAGGCTATTTTTTTAAATTATAGATATTATTCAAATTTTAACTACTTTTTAAATTTCTCTCGTATCTTTTCTTTTTAAAAAAAATTAAGAGTAAGTTTTTGTAAGAGTAAATTTTTACCTTCGGCGTTTTATCGTCTGCTACTTTACTTCGTTTAAATCGAATTGTCTAAAAACTGAGAATTTTCTTTTGATATTTTTTTGAATTTTATGCATTAACTGCATAATTTATTTCTAAACAAACTGTTGCTTTTGAAGTGGCTTGAAAGAGCGGCTGATACTATTATCCATATTTTTAAAGCACAATATATTTTTATAGAAACATAATATTTAGAATAATCATTTTTAATAAAAGTCAAATTATGATATAAAACATACAACCCTCTAGAGACTGAATTAATGGAAGTTCAATGGTTATGTAGAAATGATCTGCAGCTACTTAATGGCTGGATAAGTCAGCAGATTCTGTGGACAAGTAAGAATAATTATATAAACGACACCAAACATTCTGGATTTAATAAAACAACGAGGATATGATGTTTACTAAATGAATTTAAGAAGTTTTAAAACATAAAAAATCAACTCATTTTTTTCCTAAAATGTATTTTGAGCGTAGCGTATTTTCATTATATCCTTAAAATTCTAATTTAGAATGTAATTGTCAAGAACTGAATCCTAATCATCAGTAATATAATAAGTAATTATTACGGTTATTAAAAAATCCTTCTTATAAAGTAATTGCAAATATTTCAGAAAACTTTCTGTCTGATTGCAAATACTTTTCTATGCAAATATTTTTAATTTTATATTAATCAAGATTGCACACGATATTATTTATTTTTCTTCAATTGTTACCGTCAGCTCTAGTAGAAGTTACAAATCAATTATATTTAATTAAGGATTGGATAGGATTGCATTATTTAATTATGGCAAAGCACATGAGGGCTATCTGCCTAAAGGGAAGGATGTCTTCGTGGAGCACTTTCTAAGGGAAACTGGCTCATATACACGTTACACATGGGGAAAACCATGAAACCGCCCATGCGGCCAGCCCGTTCGCGGGATTCGAACCTCGGGCTGAACTACCAGTGTTCAGCATCTTTACCGCTCGGCCGTTGGTGGGCTATTTAATTAAGGAATGACCATCTAAGTTAAGAAACAGCGTACCGTAACAACATTTCAATTATTGGCGCCGTATCTTTCATGTTACTTCCCGATTGGCTAGCTACATGATTTTTAATGAGTATTCGGATTTTACTAGTAAATTCACTTGGAAATCGCGCTTAAACTAGGTTAGTTGGTTATTTGAACATAGAAAGAACATGGGAGCTATTTGATTAAGATGCTTTCATAGAGAATCTTTGTAAAGAGAACCTAAAAAACTATGAAAATCAACCATGCAGCCTGGGTTAGACTTCGCAACAAACAATTAGTATTTAACTATCTTCAAATGCTAGGCAACTGGTGAGGCTCCAATTAAATCTCCAATTTAATATTTTATTTGTAAATATTTAAAATATTTTTGTATTCTTAGACACAAAAAGCAGAATTTAAGTTTTGTTAACTCGTTAGTAAACTACCAAGCCGTAGTGCAAATGAATATTCAATTTCTTTGGCAATAATTGTATTCACTTAATATTCTTGGAATATGAGCTAAAGAAGGAACGTTCTCGGAAGATTAAAGAAGTGTTTAAATTACAAGCTCAGGATTAAAACGATTCTACAATTGCCCGAGTAGTTGACTTGTAAATGGATGTGAATTAAGCAGATGACTTTTAATCTTACGTTATTCAGCCAGAAAACGTATTCCAAAGTTTGTTATTGCATGACAATGCATCCTTTCATTATTCAAAACCAGTCGGAGAACCGCTTGTGTTCCGAAAATAAGAATGTGTACTCAATCGTCCTGCATGTTCTTCAAAATTTGTCTTCTTGTGATTTTTTTTCTTTCTCAAAAAAACTAAAGTTTGCCTCTCAAAGGAAAGTTTTTGACATTGAAGAGACAAATTAATATATGACATCTACTTTTAGAGGCATGTCAAAAAACAGATCTCTACAAACCTTCTCTTCCATTACATGTTGTGCAGTCAGACAAAAAGTTACATCAGCATAAATTCTATAATCTATTTTTATTACACTCTGATTACTTTATTAACATGCATAGTATATATAACATATACTAAATCTTTTACTTTAGCTTAAGTAATTCGGAATTTTTGACGGAATTGTTGTCGGAACTAGGACTTAGAAGATAAGTCAAATTAAATATTTCGATAACCCAGTAAATTCAAGTTCGAAATTTCAATATTTTATTTTCGGAGGGAGGGGAAATGTTTTCAGTTTTGGTCCATTGTACTAAGTATATTTGCTTCAATTTTTTATTTTTCCATAAAAGCGAAAATTTTACGCATGGTATACATATAACGCATAGCTTCAAATTAAAATTAATAATATACAGAGTGGTTATAATTAAAGTTCCACATTGAAACGGTAATTAAAAGGAAAACTACGGATCAATGTTAAATGGCGCTGTATTACAATATTGTTAAAAAAATATGGGGTCGGAATCTAACTTAACTTTTGTTAAAGGGTTTGTAATATGTTGTATACCCTTAAGAAACTTTGAAGTAGGCAAATTACCATTTAAAGACGTTAAAATTCGAAAATGTAAAGTCGAGTGCGCCATCCCTGTAAGTGAGAAGTTTCGTCCGTGAAAACCACGAATTAGCGATTAGAAAATGTGAGATCGCAAATCCTCTCACAAGTGTGTAGAATCTGGAAATCGTTTTCTTACAGATCGCTAATTTGTAAATTTTTTGAAGCCTGAATTCGGCCCTAAGAACATGAGGATACTGATTCAAAATGCTTTTAATCGATTTGGGCCAAAGAAATCGAAATCCCTCAGGTTATCTACCTAGTTCCATTGCATTCTCCTACTGCATTAGATTGCATAGAAGTCAATCCTCACTGTTTGGTTTGCAATGAACCATTTTTCTCTGAACTGAATAATTTTTCTCTGAATAGCAGTCGACAGCTGGACCACAGTGATTGCAGCTCGCTTAGAGTCAATGTTAAAATGTTTCGTGATTCATGCACTGCAGTAATGTGGCATTTTAGATACTATGATTTTTGTGCAGGGCTTGGCCCCACCTCACGTGTCGCACAGTTACTTAGGCAACATTTCACAAATGTCTTATATGCCAACACTTCCCCTCTTCCCACCAGACCTCAACCTCTGTGACTTTTAGCTATGGGGTTATCTCAAAAGCACTGTTTATGGTGATAATCTAAAGAATTTGGCAGAAAAGAAAAAGAATGAAAAATGTGATACACTGATAACATTCCTCCTGATATGCTATGTGTAACGTGTATACGAGCCAGTTTCCCTAAAAAGTCCCCACGAAGGCATCCCCCTTAAGACAGATAGTCCTCGAGTGCTTTGCCGTAATCTAATAAACCAAACCAAAAACCAAACCTGATATGCTAAGAGCTGCTGTTGAGAATGCAGTAACTGATTTAACTTGCTTTCGGAAAATGCGGGACGCTACATTGAACAGCTTTGTAACACGTTTCGGAAACTATTTTAAACACATTTTAAACAGATGTTTTCGGGTCTTATTTCATTTAACAATATTGTATACAGCGCCATTTTTCCCCTGATGGTGAGTTTTGGACTCTTTTTTTTTTCTCGCCGAAAATAAATTCCCATAACCTCTTTACACGATTCCCAAGTTTGATAAATTTGGTCCGGTAGTTTTCCTTTTATGACCATTTCAAAGTGGAACTTTAATAATAACCACCATGTAAAAATAAGCTTTAAAGTCTGACAGTTTGGTTCAAGTGTCAACTTTAAAAAATATATATTATAAATATAAATTTTTATATTAATTCTCTTAGAAAGCATGTTTTAAGAAGCTAATTTTTCTCTCGCGTTATAGATTGTATAAAAAAAACATGATCTTTAATAGGATTTAGATGTTTCAGCCGATATAAGAATCGGGTTACTCTGTGGTACAGAATAAATCCTGCTGGACTGTTTTATTTCTTGTCA